CCCTTGCTCTTGCTATTTTGCACTCGCTAGGCCCTTGTTCTTGCAATTTTGCACACGCTAGGCCCTTGTTCTTGCAATTTTGCACACGCTAGGCCCTTGTTCTTTTTATTTTGCACACGCTAGGCCCTTGTTCTTTTTATTTTGCACACGCTAGGCCCTTGTTCTTGCTATTTTGTACATGCTATTTCCCTGTTCTTTTTATTTTGCACACGCTAGGCCCTTGTTCTTGCAATTTTGCACATACTAGACCCTTGTTCTTTTTATTTTGCACACGCTAGGCCCTTGTTCTTGCTATTTCGCGAACGCTAGGCCCTTGATCTTGATTTTGTGCACACGCTGGGCCCTTGCTCTTGCTATTTTGCACTCGCTACGCCCTTGTTCTTGCAATTTTGCTTACGCTAGGCCCTTGTTCTTGCAATTTTGCACACGCTAGGCCCTTGTTCTTGCAATTTTGCACATATTAGACCCTTGTTCTTTTTATTTTGCACACGCTAGGCCCTTGTTCTTGCTATTTCGAACGCTAGGCCCTTGTTCTTGATTTTGTGCACACGCTAGGCCCTTGCTCTTGCTATTTTGCACTCGCTACGCCCTTGTTCTTGCAATTTTGCACACGCTAGGCCCTTGTTCTTGCAATTTTGCACACGCTAGTTCCTTGTTCTTTTTATTTTGCACAATCTAGGCCCTTGTTCTTTTTATTTTCCACACGCTAGGCCCTTGTACTTGCTATTTTGCACACGCTACGCCCTTGTTCTTTTTATTTTGCACACGCTAGGCCCTTGCTCTTGCTATTTTTCACTCGCTACGCCCTTGTTCTTGCAATTTTGCACATGCTAGGCCCTTGTTCTTGCAATTTTGCACACGCTAGTTCCTTGTTCTTTTTATTTTGCACACGCTAGGCCCTTGTTCTTTTTATTTTCCACACGCTAGGCCCTTGTTCTTGCTATTTTGCACACGCTATGCCCTTGTTCTTTTTATTTTGCACACGCTAGGCCCTTGTTCTTGCAATTTTGCACATGCTAGACCCTTGTTCTTTTTATTTTGCACACGCTAGGCCCTTGTTCTTGCTATTTCGTGAACGCTAGGCCCTTGTTCTTGTTTTTTTGCACACGCTAGGCCCTTGCTCTTGCTATTTTGCACTCGCTAGGCCCTTGTTCTTGCAATTTTGCACACGCTAGGCCCTTGTTCTTTTTATTTTGCACACGCTAGGCCCTTGTTCTTTTTATTTTGCACACGCTAGGCCCTTGTTCTTGCTATTTTGCACACGCTATGCCCTTGTTCTTTTTATTTTGCACAGGCTAGGCCCTTGTTCTTGCAATTTTGCACATGCTAGACCCTTGTTCTTTTTATTTTGCACACGATAGGCCCTTGTTCTTTTTATTTTGCACTCGCTAGGCCCTTGTTCTTGCTATTTTGCACACGCTACGCCCTTGTTCTTTTTATTTTGCACACGCTAGGCCCTTGCTCTTGCTATTTTGCACTCGCTAGGCCCTTGTTTTTGCAATTTTGCACACGCTAGGCCCTTGTTCTTGCAATTTTGCACACGCTAGGCCCTTGTTCTTTTTATTTTGCACACGCTAGGCCCTTGTTCTTTTTATTTTGCACACGCTAGGCCCTTGTTCTTGCTATTTTGTACATGCTATTTCCCTGTTCTTTTTATTTTGCACACGCTAGGCCCTTGTTCTTGCAATTTTGCACATACTAGACCCTTGTTCTTTTTATTTTGCACACGCTAGGCCCTTGTTCTTGCTATTTCGCGAACGCTAGGCCCTTGATCTTGATTTTGTGCACACGCTGGGCCCTTGCTCTTGCTATTTTGCACTCGCTACGCCCTTGTTCTTGCAATTTTGCACACGCTAGGCCCTTGTTCTTTTTATTTTGCACACGCTAGGCCCTTGTTCTTTTCATTTTGCACACGCTAGGCCCTTGTTCTTGCAATTTTGCACACGCTAGGCCCTTGTTCTTGCAATTTTGCACATACTATACCCTTGTTCTTTTTATTTTGCACACGCTAGGCCCTTGTTCTTGCTATTTCGAACGCTAGGCCCTTGTTCTTGATTTTGTGCACACGCTAGGCCCTTGCTCTTGCTATTTTGCACTCGCTACGCCCTTGTTCTTGCAATTTTGCACACGCTAGGCCCTTGTTCTTGCAATTTTGCACACGCTAGTTCCTTGTTCTTTTTATTATGCACAATCTAGGCCCTTGTTCTTTTTATTTTCCACACGCTAGGCCCTTGTTCTTGCTATTTTGCACACGCTACGCCCTTGTTCTTTTTATTTTGCACACGCTAGGCCCTTGCTCTTGCTATTTTTCACTCGCTACGCCCTTGTTCTTGCAATTTTGCACATGCTAGGCCCTTGTTCTTGCAATTTTGCACACGCTAGTTCCTTGTTCTTTTTATTTTGCACACGCTAGGCCCTTGTTCTTTTTATTTTCCACACGCTAGGCCCTTGTTCTTGCTATTTTGCACACGCTATGCCCTTGTTCTTTTTATTTTGCACACGCTAGGCCCTTGTTCTTGCAATTTTGCACATGCTAGACCCTTGTTCTTTTTATTTTGCACACGCTAGGCCCTTGTTCTTGCTATTTCGTGAACGCTAGGCCCTTGTTCTTGTTTTTTTTGCACACGCTAGGCCCTTGCTCTTGCTATTTTGCACTCGCTAGGCCCTTGTTCTTGCAATTTTGCACACGCTAGGCCCTTGTTCTTTTTATTTTGCACACGCTAGGCCCTTGTTCTTTTTATTTTGCACACGCTAGGCCCTTGTTCTTGCTATTTTGCACACACTATGCCCTTGTTCTTTTTTTTTTGCACACGCTAGGCCCTTGTTCTTGCAATTTTGCACATGCTAGACCCTTGTTCTTTTTATTTTGCACACGATAGGCCCTTGTTCTTTTTATTTTGCACTCGCTAGGCCCTTGTTCTTGCTATTTTGCACACGCTACGCCCTTGTTCTTTTTATTTTGCACACGCTAGGCCCTTGCTCTTGCTATTTTGCACTCGCTAGGCCCTTGTTCTTGCAATTTTGCACACGCTAGGCCCTTGTTCTTGCAATTTTGCACACGCTAGGCCCTTGTTCTTTTTATTTTGCACACGCTAGGCCCTTGTTCTTTTTATTTTGCACACGCTAGGCCCTTGTTCTTGCTATTTTGTACATGCTATTTCCCTGTTCTTTTTATTTTGCACACGCTAGGCCCTTGTTCTTGCAATTTTGCACATACTAGACCCTTGTTCTTTTTATTTTGCACACGCTAGGCCCTTGTTCTTGCTATTTTGCACACGCTATGCCCTTGTTCTTTTTTTTTTGCACACGCTAGGCCCTTGTTCTTGCAATTTTGCACATGCTAGACCCTTGTTCTTTTTATTTTGCACACGATAGGCCCTTGTTCTTTTTATTTTGCACTCGCTAGGCCCTTGTTCTTGCTATTTTGCACACGCTACGCCCTTGTTCTTTTTGTTTTGCACACGCTAGGCCCTTGCTCTTGCTATTTTGCACTCGCTAGGCCCTTGTTCTTGTCAGAACATATAGCTTACTTATTTCTGTAGGCTATAGTGGGGTATCCCATAGGGGGTACAACCCAATTAGGGTTTCCTATTTGTACCCACTTCTTTTTCATAGTCATTCACTTCTCGTTCGTACTTTCTCATGGAATCAGAGCAGGTCCCTTCCTAGGGCCTGTTCCTAGGGCCCACCGAAGCGCGCCCCGAGGCGCGCATTTTTTTTTAGCGACCCTCCGAGTCGCCCCTCCCGTCGTGCTCCCGCTTAGGCCCCTCGTCGGCCCCCCGCTTAGGCCCCTCGTCGGCCCCCCGCTTAGGCCCCTCGTCGGCCCCGCTTAGGCCCCTCGTCGGCCCCGCTTAGGCCCCTCGTCGGCCCCTGCTTAGGCCCCTCGTCGGCCCCGCGTACCCCTCGTCGGCCCCGCGTAGGCCCCGCGTACCCCTCGTCGGCCCCGCGTACCCCTCGTCGGCCCCGCGTAGGCCCCGCGTACCCCTCGTCGGCCCCACGTAGGCCCCGCGTAGGCCCCGCGTACCCCTCGTCGGCCCCGCGTAGGCCCCGCGTACCCCTCGTCGGCCCCGCGTACCCCTCGTCGACCCCGCGTACACCTCGTCGGCCCCGCGTACACCTCGTCGGCCCCGCGTACACCTCGTCGGCCCCGCGTACCCCTCGTCGACCCCGCGTACACCTCGTCGACCCCGCGTACACCTCGTCGGCCCCGCGTACACCTCGTCGGCCCCGCGTACACCTCGTCGGCCCCGCGTACACCTCGTCGGCCCCGCGTACACCTCGTCGGCCCCGCGTAGGCCCCGCCCAGGCCCCGTCTCGGCCCCGTGTCGGCCCCGCGTAGGCTCCGTCGGCCCCGCTTAGGCCCCTCTTCGGCCCCGCGTCGGCCCCACCTACGCCCTGTCGGCCCCGCGCTGGCCCCGCTTAGGCCCGCCACCGGCCCCTGCTACAGCCCGCCGCGTCGGCCCCGCCTACAGCCCGCCGGCCCGCCTAGGCCCCACTTCGGCCCCTCGTCGGCCCCACTACAGCCCGCACCGGCCCCTGCTATAGCCCGCCACCGGCCCTGCTACAGCCGCCACCGGCCCCTACTACAGCCCGCCGCCGGCCCTGCTACAGCCCGCCACCGGCCCTGCTACAGCCGCCACCGGCCCCTGCTACAGCCCGCCACCGGCCCTGCTACAGCCCGCCACCGGCCCTGCTACAGCCGCCGCCGGCCCTGCTGCAGCCCGCCACCGGCCCTGCTACAGCCCGCCACCGGCCCTGCTACAGCCCACCACCGGCCCTGCTGCAGCCCGCCGTACTGCACGTGAGCAGCCCCAGCAGCCCGCGCCGCCCGTCAGCCCCTACGCCACCCGAGCCGCGCGAGCCGCCCGAGCCGCCCGAGCCGCCCGAGCCGCCTGAGCCACGCGAGCCACCTGAGGAGCCGTGCTGCTGTCCCTGAGCTGTGTTCCTCTGCTGCTGACCTACCCGACTCTTCCAGCCCGGTGAGACTTTCAGCTGCTGCCATGGCCACCCCCAATGTTCTTACTTTTGACGCTGAGGGGAGGGCCATTGACTTTGCCGTCTGGATTGAAGACCTGCAGCTGTACTTACTGTGTGATGCGATAGATGAGGTCTCTCTCTTTGACTTTGTCTCTGGAGCTGTCCCTGCCCCGCCTGCTGATGCTGACTCTGCCGTTCGCTCCAAGTGGGCGACCCGCGATGCTGCTGCACGTCTTGCTGTGCGTCGCCACCTCCCTTCCTCTGAGCGTGCCCACTTTAGTCAGTGCAAGACCGCTCAGGCCTTGTACGACGCTGTAGTTGCACGCTACTCCTCTCCTTCCTCCGCTACCCTTAGCCGCCTCATGCTACCGTTTCTCTTCCCTGACCTCGCTTCCTTTCCCACTGTCGCTGACCTCGTTACCCACCTCCGCACTAGTGACGCTCGCTACCGCGCTGCCCTTCCTGCTGAGTTCCGCGCCGCAAACCCTCCTCCCATGTATATCACTCTCTACTTTCTCGTCACCCGTCTTCCTGAGTCCCTTCGTGTCGTTAGGGACCAGTTTCTCGCTGTCTGTCCCACCACCCTCACTGTCGACCTCCTTGAGGAGTCCCTGCTAGCGGCTGAGAAGAGTATAGTCGCTGTAGGGGCCTCTAGGGGTGACCCTCGCACCCCCATCTTTGAGGGGTGTTCTCCTTCCCCCCTGCTGCCCTCTGTCGCCTCTGCTGCTACGGCCGACCTCGCTGGTTTTGAGTCGGTCGGTGCGGCGTCTGCCCCCAGCGGCAGACGCCGCTCTGGCAAGGGCAAGGGGGGCAAGGGAGCGGGTGGATCTAGAGGAGGCAGTGGCGGAGGAGGTGGGGGTGGCGGGGGGAGTGGGGGTGGCGGTGGAGGTGGTGGCGGGAGTGGGGGTACCGGTGGAGGAGGTGGAGGCGGAGGTGGCGGCGGAGGCGGCAGCGGAGGAGGCGGGGGCGAGGGTACCGGTGGGGGCGGTGGCGGTGGAGACGGGGGTGGCGGTGGAGGTGGGAGTGGCGGTGGAGGCGGGAGTGGCGGAGGCGGCGGGGGTCGGAGTGGCTCGTCCCAGCGGAGCAGCTCTGGGGGTGGTCAGCGCCAGCAGCAGCAGCAGCAGCAGCAGCGGTCTCGCACCGTCCCCGCCCCTCAGCAGCTCCGTGAGTGGTACTTGCAGCGTCAGCGTGGTGGTGCGTTTGGTCCCTGCCCCTACGTTCTTCGCTCCGGCGACCGTGCGGGGGAGAGGTGTGGAGGCACCCACACAGCGCGCCGCTGCTTTGGCCGCCTGACCGACGCCTGGCGTCAGCAGTTTCCGGAGGCCGCTGAGATCCCCCGCTGGGGGGAACTGTCTAGGGCTGGTGTAGCCATTTATGATCTTGACTTTGATGCTATTCTCTCTGCTATGTATGCTGTGACTGGTAGTGATGAGGATGACTGTTACCGGTGTTTCCCGCCCGACCCGGGCATTGGTACTGCCGCGTCAGGTACTAGTGAGGCTGCTGCTCTAGGTGCCAGTGCGTCTGTGCTCTCAGGTGCTGGTGAGTCTGCCCTCTCAGGTACTGTGTCGGCTTCGGCCTCTCACACCTTCACCCTTGACTCTGGAGCGTCTCGCTCCTTCTTTCGGGACCGCACCACTCTCACGCCACTGAGTCGGCCGGTTGCGGTGTCCCTGGCTGACCCCTCTGGGGGGCCTGTCCTGTCTCGCTTCTCCACTGTCCTCCCGTGTCCGGCGGCCCCCTCTGGCACCCTGACTGGTCTCTACCTCCCCTCGTTCTCGACGAACTTGGTGAGTGGTGCTGACCTCCAGGATGCGGGTGTCCACCAGTTCACCCCTGCTCGTCAGCGGGTGACTCACTGCACTGAGGCGGATACAGGTCGCCACCTGGCTACGTTCACACGTCGGCCAGGGTCGAGCCTGTACACACTGACCACTGCTTCTCCTCCAGGTACTACGTCTGGTAGGGTCCCTTCGTCTGGTCAGGTGTTTGCTGCAGTGTCCAGGTCCGGTCCTGAGTCTGCCCCCTGCTCGTGTCGTCGTCTGTCTCACGAGACCCTCCTCTGGCACCACCGCCTTGGCCACCCCTCTCTGCTTCGGCTCAGAGGCATGGCCTCGCGAGTCCTTGTGTCTGGTCTTCCCCGGTCCCTACCTCCCTTTCCTCCGGGCCCTGGCCCTGCCTGTGTCCCCTGTGTCGAGGGGCGCCAGCGTGCTGCCCCTCACTCCTCCCAGTTTCCTCCGACAGAGGCCCCGTTGCAGACGCTTCACATGGACGTGTGGGGCCCAGCCCGCGTCTGTGGACAGGGTCAGGAGCGCTACTTCCTGCTGGTGGTTGACGACTACTCGCGTTACACCACAGTCTTCCCCTTGCGCAGCAAGGGTGAGGTCACTGAGGTGTTGATCGTTTGGATCCGCGCAGCTCGTCTCCAGCTTCGGAGGAGCTTTGGCTCTGACTTTCCTGTTTTGCGTCTGCACTCGGACAGAGGCGGAGAGTTCTCCTCTGGCCTCCTGAGTGCCTACTGTCGTGCGCGAGGCATTCGTCAGACCTTCACGCTTCCGGACTCACCACAGCAGAATGGGATTGCTGAGCGCCGCATTGGCATGGTCATGGACGTCGCTCGTACGTCCATGATGCATGCGGCTGCCCCCCATTTTCTGTGGCCGTTTGCGGTCAGGTACGCCGCGCATCAGATCAACCTTCACCCCCGGGTCTCTCGACCCGCGATGTCCCCAGTCTTGATGTGGACGGGGAAGGTTGGCGATGCGTCGGCGTTCCGGGTCTGGGGATCTCGGGCGTTTGTCCGCGACTTGTCTGCGGACAAGCTGTCCCCTCGCGCTGCTCCCTGCGTCTTCCTGGGGTTCCCCCCCGACGCCCCTGGGTGGCAGTTCTACCACCCCACCTCTCGACGTGTTCTGTCTTCCCAGGACGTCACGTTCGACGAGTCGGTACCCTACTACCGCCTCTTCCCCTACCGCACTCCGTCCCTCCCCCCACCCCCGCTCTTCTTGGTCCCAGGCCCCCCCCCCCGGTAGTCCCCCTCCCCCCTCAGGGTCCTGCCCCTTCAGGTGTGTCCCAGGTAGACGCGGTCGAGCCTGTCGAGGTCACTGGGGACTCTGGTGCTGCTGCTGGTGCTGAGCCTAGGGGTGCTGAGCCTGGGGGTGCTGAGCCTGGGGGTGCTGAGCCTGGGGGTGCTGAGCCTGGGGGTGCTGAGCCTGGGGGTGCTGTGCCTGGGGGTGCTGAGCCTGGGGGTGCTGAGCCTGGGGGTACTGAGCCTGGGGGTGCTGAGCCTGGGGGTGCTTCGTCTCGCCGGGAGCCACTCTCCCCACCGGAGCTGCGTGAGTGGTTTGCCAGGCGCTGGAGGCGTGCTGCTGGTGCTGGTGGTTCTTCGGCTGCAGAGGGTACTGCTGTCGCGCGTCCCGACGGTGCTCGTCCTTTGGGTGTTGGAGCTGCTGGGTCTGAGAGTTCTCCTGGAGCTGGTACTGCTGAGGGTGTTGTCGCTGAGCCTGCCGCTGGCGGTCCGCCTGCGGGTACTCCTGGTGCTGCTTCTGGGGCCTCTGGTGGTGCTGCTGGAGGTGCTGCTGGAGTGGGTGCTCCGGCCGGGGCTGCTGGCGCTGTTCCAGCTGTTTCTAGCGTCGCCGCGCGGCCCCGACCTTACTTCGTTCCGCTCCTTCAGCAGGTTCTTGGTCTTACACCTTCTCCTCCTCCCGTAGAGGGTCCGCAGCCTGTCCAGTCACAGCCACAGCTACAGCCTGCCTCCCCTTTGCCTGCTCCTTCTCCCTACGCTGGTCCGACTGGAGGTCTTACTGAGCGTCGTGAGCCTGCGTCTCGTCCTGCGTCGCCTGTTCGTCCTGCGCGCGCTAGTGGTCGCGGTTCGCGTCAGCGTCCTCCTCCTGTCCTTGGCACGCACCGGATGTCGCTGCGTCCGTCCACTGCTCCTCTGCGTGCCCCTTTGCCTTCTCCTCCTGCTTCCTCTCTTCCTGCTCTTGCCGACCCGGAGTCGGACTCTCTTCGTGCTGCCAATCCTACTGTCACGCGTCTCCTTGCTACTGCTGTCACTGACCCTTCCTTCGAGTCGTCTGCTGCGTCTGCCCTTGTCACTGAGCTTGTCGACTTTGCTGCGCGGTGTCGTCTCGACTACGCTGCTCGTCTTGTCACTAAGTCTGAGTCCGCCTGTCCTCCGTCCGTCGGGGGTGAGTGTGCCCTTGGCACGGACGTCCTTGAGGACAGGCAGGAGGAGTTCCAGTGTCTGGCTGCCGCTTCACCTCGTCTCGCGTCTGTACTGCTAGCCCCTGAGGGAGACCCGGATGCACCAGACATCCCGACTCCGCGCTCTTACGCGGAGGCGATAGAGGGTCCCTACTCCTCTCAGTGGCAGGCAGCTATGGATGCAGAGATGGCTTCCTGGAAGTCCACAGGCACCTACGTTGACGCTGTACCCCCTCCTGGGGCGAACATCGTCAGTGGCATGTGGATTTTCAGGGTGAAGCGGCCGCCGGGTTCTCCGCCTGTCTTCAAGGCGCGCTACGTGGCTCGTGGCTTCAGTCAGCGGCAGGGGGTTGACTACTTCCAGACCTTCTCCCCCACCCCGAAGATGACCACTCTTCGGGTTCTGCTGCACGTTGCTGCTCACCGTGACTATGAGCTGCACTCTCTCGACTTCAGCACAGCTTTCTTGCAGGGCAGCCTGCACGAGGAGATCTGGCTGCGCCGCCCACCTGGCTTCACTGGGTCTTTCCCTCCTGGTACCCAGTGGAGTCTCCGGCGTCTAGTCTACGGTCTCCGCCAGGCGCCACGTGAGTGGCACGACACACTGAGGACTACGCTCGCGGCACTTGGGTTTGCTCCTTCTACTGCCGACCCGTCGCTGTTTCTGCGCACCGACACCTCTCTGCCGCCGTTCTACATCCTCGTGTACGTCGACGACTTGGTCTTTGCCACAGCTGACACTGCTGGACTCGCCTACGTGAAGTCTGAGCTGCAGAAGAGACACACGTGCAGTGACCTGGGTGAACTGCGCAGCTACCTTGGCTTGCAGATCACCCGGGATAGAGCACGCCGCACCATTACCCTGACTCAGTCACACATGGTGCAGCAGGTCCTTCAGCGCTTCGGCTTCACGTACTCCTCGCCTCAGGCCACTCCTCTGCCTACTCGCCACTCACTCTCAGCTCTGCCTTCGGATGAGTCCGTAGAGTCGAGTGGCCCGTTTGCAGAGCTTGTTGGCTGCCTCATGTACCTGATGACCTGCACACGACCTGACCTCGCATACCCTCTTAGCATTCTCGCACGCTTTGTTGCTCCTGGGAGACACCGACCAGAGCACATGGCTGCAGCAAAGAGGGTGTTGCGCTACTTGTGCAGTACGTCGGGCATGGGGCTAGTGCTTGGAGGGCGCAGTCCAGTGGTCCTCACTGGGCACGCAGACGCTTCTTGGGCTGACGACCAGGCTACGCAGCGGTCGTCACAGGGTTACTCCTTCAGCCTTGGTTCCGGCTCTGTCTCGTGGCGGGCTACCCGCTCGTCTTCTGTTCTCGGCTCCAGTTGTGAGGCTGAGATCTACGCTGGGGCTATGGCTGCACAGGAGTTACGCTGGCTCACCTACCTGCTGACCGACCTTGGAGAGCCGCCTCGTTCTCCTCCAGTCCTGTACGTAGACAACAAGGCCATGCTGGCCTTGTGTCGAGAGCAGCGACTGGAGCACAGAACGAAGCACATTGCTCTCCGCTACTTTCTTGCTCGTGAGCTACAGCAGCGTGGACAGTTGCGACTTGCGTACGTGGCCTCTGAGGCCAACACTGCTGATGTCTTCACCAAGGCACTTGCGCCTTGTGATCATCAGCGTTGTTGCACGCAGTTGGGTCTTGTGCCTGTCTTGCCTCACTTGCTCTGCTCTTGACCTTGCTTGTACCTTCACCTATATATACTCTTGCTCTTGCTTGCTTGACTCTTGTATATCTCTATATATGATCTTGCATGTGAACTGGCCTTCTGGCCTTTGAACTTGTGCTCGGAATGCGTGGTGACTTTGTGATCCACCCTGAGCTTTGCTTTGCTTTGCTTGACTGGTCTTGTGACCCCTTGTTCTCCCCCACTTTGCCTATGGGGGTGTGTCAGAACATATAGCTTACTTATTTCTGTAGGCTATAGTGGGGTATCCCATAGGGGGTACAACCCAATTAGGGTTTCCTATTTGTACCCACTTCTTTTTCATAGTCATTCACTTCTCGTTCGTACTTTCTCAGTTCTTGCAATTTTGCACACGCTAGGCCCTTGTTCTTGCAATTTTGCACACGCTAGGCCCTTGTTCTTTTTATTTTGCACACGCTAGGCCCTTGTTCTTTTTATTTTGCACACGCTAGGCCCTTGTTCTTGCTATTTTGTACATGCTATTTCCCTGTTCTTTTTATTTTGCACACGCTAGGCCCTTGTTCTTGCAATTTTGCACATACTAGACCCTTGTTCTTTTTATTTTGCACACGCTAGGCCCTTGTTCTTGCTATTTCGTGAACGCTAGGCCCTTGTTCTTGTTTTTTTGCACACGCTAGGCCCTTGCTCTTGCTATTTTGCACTCGCTAGGCCCTTGTTCTTGCAATTTTGCACACGCTAGGCCCTTGTTCTTTTTATTTTGCACACGCTAGGCCCTTGTTCTTTTTATTTTGCACACGCTAGGCCCTTGTTCTTGCTATTTTGCACACGCTATGCCCTTGCTCTTTTTATTTTGCACAGGCTAGGCCCTTGTTCTTGCAATTTTGCACATGCTAGACCCTTGTTCTTTTTATTTTGCACACGATAGGCCCTTGTTCTTTTTATTTTGCACTCGCTAGGCCCTTGTTCTTGCTATTTTGCACACGCTACGCCCTTGTTCTTTTTATTTTGCACACGCTAGGCCCTTGCTCTTGCTATTTTGCACTCGCTAGGCCCTTGTTCTTGCAATTTTGCACACGCTAGGCCCTTGTTCTTGCAATTTTGCACACGCTAGGCCCTTGTTCTTTTTATTTTGCACACGCTAGGCCCTTGTTCTTTTTATTTTGCACACGCTAGGCCCTTGTTCTTGCTATTTTGTACATGCTAGACCCTTGTTCTTTTTATTTTGCACACGCTAGGCCCTTGTTCTTGCAATTTTGCACATACTAGACCCTTGTTCTTTTTATTTTGCACACGCTAGGCCCTTGTTCTTGCTATTTCGCGAACGCTAGGCCCATGATCTTGATTTTGTGCACACGCTGGGCCCTTGCTCTTGCTATTTTGCACTCGCTACGCCCTTGTTCTTGCAATTTTGCACACGCTAGGCCCTTGTTCTTGCAATTTTGCACACGCTAGGCCCTTGTTCTTGCAATTTTGCACATACTAGACCCTTGTTCTTTTTATTTTGCACACGCTAGGCCCTTGTTCTTGCTATTTCGCGAACGCTAGGCCCTTGATCTTGATTTTGTGCACACGCTGGGCCCTTGCTCTTGCTATTTTGCACTCGCTACGCCCTTGTTCTTGCAATTTTGCACACGCTAGGCCCGTGTTCTTGCAATTTTGCACACGCTAGGCCCTTGTTCTTGCAAATTTGCACATACTAGACCCTTGTTCTTTTTATTTTGCACACGCTAGGCCCTTGTTCTTGCTATTTCGAACGCTAGGCCCTTGTTCTTGATTTTGTGCACACGCTAGGCCCTTGCTCTTGCTATTTTGCACTCGCTACGCCCTTGTTCTTGCAATTTTGCGCACGCTAGGCCCTTGTTCTTGCAATTTTGCACACGCTAGTTCCTTGTTCTTTTTATTTTGCACAATCTAGGCCCTTGTTCTTTTTATTTTCCACACGCTAGGCCCTTGTTCTTGCTATTTTGCACACGCTACGCCCTTGTTCTTTTTATTTTGCACACGCTAGGCCCTTGCTCTTTCTATTTTTCACTCGCTACGCCCTTGTTCTTGCAATTTTGCACATGCTAGGCCCTTGTTCTTGCAATTTTGCACACGCTAGTTCCTTGTTCTTTTTATTTTGCACACGCTAGGCCCTTGTTCTTTTTATTTTCCACACGCTAGGCCCTTGTTCTTGCTATTTTGCACACGCTATGCCCTTGTTCTTTTAATT